TGCTAGGGCTGAGAGCTTACTGAGAAATTGATCTCAAGTGGACTCAGCTGACGTGAGCGTGTCTTCAGAATCTCAGCAAAATCTAGTCTGTTCCTACGATATCGAAAAATTAGAAGGTTCAAGGTTACAAGAAAAGTTTACAGCCACCACTTCTCTTCTCTCAATCAGGAAATCAATTTTTGTTTATAAGACTGGCTCTAAATGTTGCCTCAATTTCTAGTCCCTTTTATGCAACACACTTGGGAATGAAAGAACATTGACGAGTGGTACGGTACCTATTACATTAGACCTAATAAGGTAGCAATTCAAAAAACAAACTCGTTCTGAATTTATCACTGCCTTCAACCGTTATACAAAAAAGGCAAGCATCCTTAGCAGAAGCTAGAGGCTGTCAACAGAAAAATGGGGAAGGACGTTACCCTCGCCCCGAAGGAAAAGTATCAACGTTGCTCCTCAAAAATTCCCCTGCGATCAAAACTGGAAAGGGGTGAAAATGGAGGTCGGTGAGGTTAAATAGATTCGTATGTTTAAAGGGGGATCTCCGACAAAAGTCATACTTATCAGCATGAAAAGATGGGAAGTTGAAGGTGAATGTAACGAAGACGAAAGTTTAAAAAANAAAAAATGCACAATCACCGAATACCAACCACAAAACATATTGAACGGTTTGGTCCCAAAAACTACAGTTAGGAGGACAAAGTAAACAATCTGCGAAGAGTGCACTGACAAAACAGAAGTTGGTTAGCCGTTGTTACTGACTTCATCTTCAATTCCAGTATTCATAAGCCATCAAAAAGGGTGCAGGCAAGTTTTTTTCTGATCGTTTGAGCAAAGTTGACTTGCTACAAACTGATGACTTACATTCAGGAGGTCAGGAAAAAAAATGACACAAGAGAAATTCAAGTTGGAATCAGTTGACGAGGCAGCGAACCTCAAAACCACTAAATGAATGATGAACGGAACGAGGAGTAGCACTTTCAAACAAAAATATATCTATATTCTTACAGAAATAAATAGTGAGAAAAAGCGGGGAGCACAAGAAAAAGAAAGAGCTTTCGCTCTTAAAATTACAAAAAATAGAGATGCAAAGGTTCCTTTTGAATCTTATACGATTCTGAGCAACATTTCGAACGGCCGCGCTAGAACAGCAACGTCAATCAACAATTGGTTTGAAAAAAAAGAGTCAGCCCTTACAGTAAGCAAGTGGTTCTGGAAGCCCAGTGATGAATAGATAAACAAAACAAGAGCTGGCACTGCCTAATCATCATGTGACGCAAAGCTGAGCTCATTACTGCCTTGCGAAATCAAAGGATATTAATCGCAGCCAAAACCGTGCTCACTAAGAAAACTCCGAGTTCTGGTTCCACATGCTTTAGAAAAGGGGTGGGCAGAGTCGACGAGACCGTGTGCGAGGGCGTCACGGCGAATTTTTGACTCCGATACCTTAACTCCAGGGAATACAGTAAGAGGGTGGAGGAGAAAAGATAGCCAGGTTGATACAAAACTCATAGTTTAAATATCCAATACCGTCTACAACCCTCCTGTTTGAATCCTTGCCTTCAGCTCGCCCAACACCTCAGTCATTTATCCTTGCAGAATTAAATGTAACCACGCGAAACTCCCAGGCACTTCCGACAAATCAACGGAATCAATCACAGTAAATGATAGTCTCTTAGCCAAAGTCAATGAAAAAAAATTTCAGCAAAAATTGAGCCGCCACTCATTTCCTCATAACTTCATGTGCGCCTATCATCCTTGGTTTTGTGAAGAACTTTGTGCAGACCTGTTGCCGGCCTCCCTCAGCTGCAGAATCGAAGGTCATATTTGTTTTAAAGGCTACTGATCTTCCTACATTTGGAGGCGCTGAAAGTTTTCCCCCAATCTCTACCCAGCTTTCCCCCCTCCCCCCTCCCAAAAAAACATGAGAACAATCATTCTCTGCTGCTTTCATAGTTTTTTTTTTGGTTCACACCCGCATCACATCATCCACACCACACATATTTGCTCTGCCCTGCAGCCACCAGCCATTTTCGTACTTATAGTTCCGGAACAACCGCCCTTGTTGTTACAGAGAATTGAGGAAAAGTAAACAAAATACGGAAAAAAATCGACTGTTCATTTAGAAACCCCTAAAAAATAGGAGTAGAAGGAAAACGAAAACGATCTGCTGAGTCAGTTCAAAGTTTTCTTCAAAAAAAAAGCGACAGGCTGCCTTAAATGGACAGATGATCATCTCCGGACAAGAAGCAGCTGCGACGCGGCATTCATTCTGGAGCATGTTATTCTGAAGTGCAAGTGGGGGCGCTTTCGTAACTTTTGTACTTTCCTCACTTGATTCTATGCCAGCCTTATTCTTACGAAACTAATCGATGGCGCGACATCACCGCGTCTATGGGGACTTACTATTTAGTATTTCTGCCCTACTTCTTTTGTCTTGATACTCTTGTCGATATCCCTCTTGTCGCCTCTTGGCTCGCATATTTGGATGTTTTATTAGGTTTATTTTGTCCAGTGGCTATAGCTTATACCACACCTACCCTTACGATCTTATTATCCCAAAGTCTACTTTTTCCGATTCTCATGAGCCACTCCATTTTTCGTCTGTGACACTTATAGCTAAAGCAAAGAAAGCGCTAATTTTGCGGGTTAGAAACCATTCTCAGTCTGGGATCGAGTTTTTGGCCTGATCCTTGAAAACGAATGCCCCCTTCAACTACAATTTCGCCATATTGTGTTACAACTAGAACACAAATTGTAAGGGTATGAACTTCTGAGGGGAAATTGTTAATACCAACTTTTGACTCAGAATGAAGGAGTTTTCAGTATCGCATTCATGCAGATCTGCGCTGAAGAAAATGGGTGGGCAATGAACAGCTGCGGGAATATGAAGCTTTTTTCATATGAACTGTTGTTCTGGCAAAATAAATGAAGAACTTACCAGAGGAACCCATGCTAACCATTATTGCAGGCTACTGTGAATCTTGATACAGAGTTCTTCGCAGATATTAACCATGCAGTACCCTGAAACGTAAGGGATGAATCCACCAAGAAATACGCTTGTTCACAACCAAAAGAGAAGCCATCACGGTGGATCTCGATTTGACTGGTCTGCAAATCAACGTACATGTTGAAGATTTCTACACTGAAGTCGGTCATGCAAAACCAGTAATTGAACGGTGTAGAATATTTCTTAACATATGCTGCACGACTGTCATGAAAATAGCACTACCGGATAGGATGCTCCATGGGCAATATGTCTACGAAAGGTTGCGCCAATCGACCTTATCGTGAATTGATGCGCAACGTCTGTAGCTACAGTCCACACGCCAATTACTGCGTAGTACCACTGCGTAAAAGTTCCTTCACAGCGTCTTCGACGAGCATCCGTTTCATTTTGCCTTATTGGGTGTAATCTTTAATGTTGATAATGCCTCTTCGCTTTTTAACATTCGATCCTTCCACAGTTCTATTTTTGTTTGTTTCATCCTATTTTAGTTGAGCCTCCATTGCGTCACAAAGTCCTCGTTTTTGGGTGTGCGTGAATTTTGCAGTCAAAGATGATTCCTTTCTCAGATTTTCCTTCCCTTCCTCTTATCCACTCCACTGCTCCCGCCGCTGATCCTCTCCTACGCAAGATACTGCAAAAAACAATGCGGAGTGAAGGGGGTTGCGCTGATGGGGATGTTTTCTTTGGCTCCATTCCTGACCCTGTTTTAACACATTTTTCTCGATTCCACCAGTGTTCTGTACAAAGTATCTATTGTGGCCGAAGCATGAACAAATTTGAACGTGTACAAACTTATAAGAGTGCAGTAATTTTATCAAATTTACAACCCAAAAAGTAATGAGCGTTCAGTGAGCCTCCAAAATGTTGCCAATTTCTTACTTCTTTTCGAGTTAGTCAGTGTCGCCTTTCGCGGTGTTCGTCCAGGCCACAACCTGAGTTCCGGGCCATATCTGTGAACTTTTTAGTTTAAAAAATGGACATCTGAAGTCGCTAGCCTTAAACAATTGCACGACTCGACCCGGAACGGCATACACTATTACACAAAAGTTCTGCGCCGTCAGATGCGACGCACTATTCCAATTTAGGCTTATTCTGGTGGCACAAAAATTCCTATTCATTGGGTTCTCAGCGGTTCCTGTTGTTTCGGTTGAGCGAAATAGGAAATAGTTGACTTGGCTTGCAGTTGAGAGTACTGCAGCCTCACGGATCCAACTTCGAACACGCAGTTACCATTTTGGATTTTGCGCCTTTTTGGAGGGTAAGCTGGTAGTCAAGCAAGCACTCTTCCACCATCTTTCCTTACCATCCACATAACACCCTACCTTGTTTGTGCTCGAAAACCAACGTTTTGCACTACTACTGTTTTGCCCTCAGTTTCATTTTTCTTTTCAGCACAAATGTATGTAACGAGAAGAGTGCTCCGCAGTGTTCCTTTTCGCTCTGCGCGGCATTTCTTCCGAAAGTGCACGGTGACGGATCAGTCTTCACCAACGCAGGTTTGATCTCTCTATTAGTGCTTGTTTTCCCTCGCGTTTTCCTCATTTACTTACACTATACTTTTTTATCAGTCATGTTTCTAGGTGGGATCGTGTCCAAATTGTTTTTATGGCTCTCTTCTTCCCCATCTCAAACTCGTGAACCACCAATTTACTTGTTCCGAGCATTTGATTGCTCTTTAAGAATCCCTGAATCCCCGACCAAATGTGTTGTCAAAAAGTCATACTACTTACGTCCTCAATCCTTTTTTATTATTTCTGTGAATCACATGGAAGGAAACGATCTTTTCTGATCGACCGTCACCATTATCGTTCTTTGCTCATCGAGCTTCCAATATTCTTGCAATTCATTCTAATTAACCATCTCTGTCTGAGTCCCCTAAAAAAGCCAGCTTACTCTGCGAATGAACAGCATCTACAAGTTGACTTAAGCTACTTGCAAAACTTCGGTACTCCTTTCTCTTGCAAAGTGATTTGGATCATACAGTTAGGAACCAATGGGTCCCATTCAATTTATTTTCCAGGGTTTATTTGGAGATCCGCTGCTGAAGAGTGCTGCAAGCTTGACGGAATTAAACAGCCGGGTTCGTGCTGAGTGTACAGAACTTTTGAACCAAATAGAAGCCGGCAGTAAAGAACGAACTACTGTCCAACTTTTCGATGATTTATCCAATACAATTTGTAAAGCTGCTGATATGGTAAGTGTAGCCAGTTCCGACTTTTTTGTTTTCACCAACTGGTCACTTACTCTATGAATTCCGAAATGTTGGTTTTAATTCTTTTCAAATAAAACTGTGCTCCTGATAAACTCTTAGAACCAAGGTAGAATGCGTGCGACAACTTCACAACGATCCGGATTATAATGAGGCTGCTCAGAAAAGTGCTAGTGATTATTGTCAACTTGTGGAAAGGTGGATATCGTGTTCTTTCAAAGCTTCACTTCTTTTTGACCGGTGATGATGTGAAAATTTCAGTCTGAATACATACACTAAGCTGTATCATACGTTGAAGAACTCAAAAGTTACGGAAGCCGCTCGATTAGATGATGTCGACAAACACACAATCGACTTGTTCTTGAATGAGTTTGAACAATCAGGTGTACATCTTCCAGAAAGAGAGGTGGGAAGGTCTTCGGTAAATTCAGTTTGTTCACTTTAAACTTTCCTGTGCTTCTCAATTAATATTTCCCTCTATTTACTGCACAGATTTATAGCGAACGGAATTTGTTCGGCTCTCGGGTGAGATCTTCAACGCTAGCACAAAGTTCCAAATGGGATGTGATAAAGAAGTTGTCGTTAGCAGGTAAATGACCTCTACAAGCTTGCTATATTTATAAACATGCAGCAGAAATATGTAGACATTGCTTAGAGGAGTTCTTACAGCATTGATTGTATAAATTCTTTGAATTTTTGGAAGCTATTGATAGATTCTCGTTGTTGTGCTCCTTATCTCATTATGCTCTCTGTACTACATTGTTCAGAGCTCTGAAGCATCAGTATGGCCTTCCATCAACACGAATCGTCTCTCCTGTGTCGAACTGTATTGAGCAAGAGAAGAGACGTTTCGTTCATACGACTTATTATCGTCATAATGACGCTCAGGTGTGCTTGATGTTTTCTTTCTTTCCGGCATGCATGTTTGCTAACTGGTTCTTTACCGTAATGGAGTGGGGTACGTGGGAACGAATTCTAAGCAACGACCCGTCCATTTTTGGCTCATAAAGAGCTTCTTCAAAGTAGGCTTGTGATTCAATTGCGTTTTTACAGGAGGAGAACCTGCGTAGTCTTGTCCTTCATCGAGATGAACTAGCAAGGCTCACCGGCTATCCGTCATATGCTCACAGAGCGCAAGAGAATAGCTTGTTAGGTTCTTATGAGAACGCTCACGATTTTCTGTGGGGCGTCATACAGGTTACTCTCTTCTTTTTAGGTGCTCGCTTATAGGAGGTATTTTTAGGAAAGCTTTGAATATTTCAGGCATGCCGACCTGCCGCAGAGAGGGAAATAGCTGTTCTATTAGATGTGCAATCCCAATGCAGTTCATTATTCAGTGGCATAGGAGAATGGGACATACATTATCTAACTCAGATTTATAAGGTGCTTTGTTTACGTTTTATGTTCCTTTTTGTGTACATGGAAGTTATGATACAGTAGGGTTCTGCTTTCTTTTACTTCCAAAAATGCTCTTGCATCTAATCCCTTGTTTTATCTGCTTTTTAACCAGCTCTACTTGTTTTTCCGTTCTTTCATAGACTTCTTTAAAAATCTGATATCAGCATTACCAATATAGATTTTCAGTATTTAGCCGATCATGATGTGATACTGTTGATAAGCAAGCGTTTTCAGGAGCGTGCTTATGGAATCGAGCATTATGACGAAATAAGCAAGTTTCTCAACCTTGGAAATTTGCTTAGCGGTCTTGCGAATCTTCTAAACAAGCTGTATGGAGTAAAAATTGAAGAGCGGCAGATAGAACGAGGAGAAATGTGGGATGGTAACATTATAAAGTTGGTGGGTTGAAGTTTATCTCACATCAGGAATTTATTGCCAAAGAACCATGAAGAAAAGGCAGGAAGGCTTTTGCCTGATGCCGAGTGACAAGTAACATATTTCATGCTTATTCATTAATTTCCTTTTTTTCAAATAACGAAGTCTATTCAATTTAAACACTGGCCAGGCACTTGATCGAATTAATAGCTTTGCTGTAGAAGATCATTTGGGACTCTTCTTGAAGTCATCAGCATCAGAGATATGCATGAGACCCTATTCTTTGTATACGCTGAAACCACATGCTATGATATGAAAATACAAGATTTTTTCTGATGAATTCATTTTTCTAGTGCTTATCGGATTATCATCAAAATAACTAATGGGCATGACAAACTTTTTGTAATTTATTATCATTTTTCCTAGTCGCACGAACCCGACATAATCTCGATAAGCAGTTACCAAAAAGTGCTATCAAAATTTGAGCACTAGTCAACCACTAATCATTCGATTAACGTTTGTAGAGAATAACATTTTTTTTTACTTTTGCTCGGAATTTGTTTCTATATCGTTTCCAATTTAAACTATGGACAGCACATTTGATATTAAACATTTGCATCTTTAGGATGTCAGTAGTGCTGACGGTCAGTTCCTTGGCACTGTGTACCTAGATATTGATAGAAGGCCTACGAAAGCTGTCGGAGATTGTCACTTCACTGTGCGATGTTCAAAACAGGTATCATTTGGCTCAATCGCCTCTGGTTGATCTAGGAAGAATAATATTCTTGGAAATACTATCTCGATTTTAGTTGAAAGACAACAGCTGGCAAACTCCAATAGTGGTTTTATCGTTGGCGATCTGCGATCGAACTGATGTTGACTGGAGATCCGTACCGGTATAGTTCGCTTTCACAAGTTTTTTTTTTGAAGAAGTCCAGAGAGATTCTTTTTGTTGAAACTGATGAGATTGCTTGCCGATACACTCTTTAGACATAGGTTCATATAGGTATTCAAATGTTTATTAGAAAAGAAATGCTCGATAAGTTCTACCATTTTTCGACATCTTTTTCAAGATCTCTCTCTCTGTCATAGCGAATTGATTCGTTGGTTTGGCAGAATTTCCTTTTTCGTGTATTTTCTTGTCGGTTTCGTTCGAGGCCTATCATTGTGTTGTATCGCATCGGAGTGTTAAAATCAAACATTCTTGTTCATTTTCGGTATCATTGATCAAGTTGCTGGGTGTGGGTACTTTTCCCCGAAAATCGCACCGCGCTCGCCGCACCCGTTTGCGCGCTATTAGGCGAATGGTTTGGATTCCCAGTAGTCGCCCCAGAACCACTGTCGCTTATGTGTGATTTCGGGACAAGTAAGGCTGCCACGCCATACTGAGAGCATTCGAATTACTCTTTTAATGGTAATTTTCCAACTGCCAGACCGCAGCATTCGAACCCTAATGGATTTTGCGTTATCCTCTTACACGTGGAGGTTTAACTGGTACTTCTTTTTGGTCCCTTTTTACTACTTTTCCGCTCTCCCTCGTGCTTTTTTAAATATTTTTTATGAATTTTTCGTTTAAATCTGCCTTACCCTACCTGAACCCACGTTTGGCTCGTCTATGAGCTCCCAATCTCTCCTCTTCAGTAAATATTCCTGACTTCTAAAGCCCTAGAATCCCCTAGAGTCTCCTAGACTTGAACTGTGACCTTCCTCATCAAGTACTTTCTAGTTGAGTGCGTGCTAGACTTATCTTAGGTACAACACCTCTATCTAGCTAGAGAACGTTGTATCTACCGAGTATGGACCTTCTTCACCTCATGCGCAGCATCTCTGCTCACTGTCACCCAGCCCATTCCTAGGCTTTCATGTTCGTGATCTCTGTTAAGTTAAGCTTTTTTCTTTTTGATTGCATGATTATTTAAAACTTGATAAAGTAAAATCCCAACAGCTTACACATCTATGCCTAATGTCTCAGGGCATTATCCGCTTCAGGCACTGCACACAGTAATCAGTAATTTTAATCGGCATCGATTAAAATGCGATATATCAAGCCTGAGTAATCCTTTCCAGTTTTCCCAACCTCTCACACAATCTGGGCTCTTAATCTTGTAGCTTCAAATTTAGCTCTACCCCCATCGGAGCTCACCCCATACACCGTAATCATGACCATCCTATTCCTTTGTTGCTCTCTATCTACTTCTCTTCCTCTTAGAGCACAACTTTTCACTTTGCCCCCCCCCCCTGCTCATACCTGAGACCTTGGATTTTACGTTTTCTCAGAATTTGAAATTTGAAATCAATTTTAGAGGATAGTTACTCTAGGTAGTGAAACAAAAGAGGTTTCTGATTTCAGTGCCGCCCACCGAAAAAGGAAGATTCTTTATTGTTTGCTATACCAATAATTGCTATTAGCGCTACTTTTAAATTTTTCATTTAGTGTCTATAATGACGTTTTTCTTCAGATTGATATGCATCGCGCAGAAAATGTCTTCCATGAAATGGGTCATGCGATGCATAGCATGCTGGGAAGGACACGGTATCAACACGTTGCAGGTGAATTCGGAAAGGTTGTTCTTGAGTTCATTGGGGTTCCATGAAAATTACTCATTATTTAAGGCACGCGATGTCCACAGGACTTCTCTGAAATTCCGTCTATACTAATGGAATATTTCTTCAACGATCTAACGGTACATTTATTCCTTGATTCCTTGTAACTTGTACAGTTCTCAGCTCTAACCTCTATCAGCTAGTTTGTATATTGCTTGTACCTTCTTAACTTTACCATTGCTCCAGGTTCTGCAATCTGTCCTTCGTAACTCTGATGGTGAATGTGTGCGCATTGAAGACGCAGCATCCATGATAGCATCAAGATTTGCTTTCTCGTCATTGGAAATTATGCAACAGGTAAAACTTGGGTAGCTTTAGTTTTTCCAATAACATCGTTTTGTTCGTGAGGGAGGATTTTGCTCAGCTAGAAGTTTTTACACACTGTTTCTGCTTGTTTTCAGAGCACTGCAATATTCTATGGCTTAGGCTTAAGGAATTTTGATTCCAGAAATGACTCCTTCTTACGTGAGCAATGAGAGAGTATACTCATTGGTTTCTATTATAGGCCTCATATGCATTGTTTGATTTGGAATTACATGCTCCTGATGCAACGAAACTTCTTCGTGAAGGTCGCATCACTACGACGGATCTCTTCCATTCTATAATTACTAAGGTATTACATTGAGTGCATTAGTAAATTAGTACCATTACTGTTTGTGAGAAGTGAACTCATATCAGCTGAAATGAATACCATGGTTACTCCCACTTTAGGCTCTGCCGCACTTGGATCGTCAGGCAGATTCAGCTTTTCAACATCGGTAAGAGCAGTTTCTTCATATCCTTCAATAATTTATATTTTCATCGTATTCTTGACTCGCACCTTCGATGATTCTTTTTCTCCGAACGAAGACCATCCGCTCGTGGAATGTGTTTTACTTATGTTCGCTCAGTTGTTGTTGAACAATTTCGAGAAGCATATCAAGCAATCTTATCGTTAGACTTTTAGTCGTTGTCTTGCTCATTTACTAATGCTCATTCGTTTGAATAGGTTTCACCACCTGGTACAATATGGTGCCAAATATTATTCGTACATGGTAGCAAGGTCTGCTGCTAGCCTAATATGGAACTCGAAGTTTAGAGACTCGCCATTCAGCAGAACTGAAGGAGAGAAGTGGATGAAGGTAATGTTTTGTTAATAGAGAACAGTTAAAGCTAAAGTACCTTTTCTCGTTTTCTTTTCAAAAGTATTCCTTTTCAAGGTCCAGTCTCATGGTGGAGGGTTGCCCTCGGCAATTTTATTGGAAACCATGTTGGGATACTCTCCAACTTCCATGCATTTTATTGAAGCGCTCAAAAAAGAGACCTCTCACCTTGCGAATCTCGGTGCTGTAAATGTTTAAATATCGTTGTTTTTTATTGTTATATAAAAGTAGACACTCAAAGTGCAACTTGTTGAACAAATAAGCCTGTTAGGTTTTTTGTTAGTTATTGTTAGATTTGTTGTTTCTGTGAATTCATCCGGCCGCCACTTTATGGAAACTCCCACAAAGTTACTATCAGCAGTTCTACTATTCTTTCCCGTTCAGAAATTGGTTTGAAGTAACTATCCTCCCGGTGATGGTACATGCGGTTCTTAGACTGCCCGCTAGGTAAAGAGGCTGTCAATCGGTGCCATCCTTTCTTTTGTCAAAAAAACCTCAACTCATGAGAATATGGCTTTTGGAAAAAGGTTCTGAACTAAAGTGAAGCTATTCCTCTTCGACTGTAATTATAAGAGAAAAAAAATGCCAATATTCGCTTTGTGAAGCATAGCTCGTTCTCCGGTCCTTTCAGAGCTAAGACTTCCACGCCGGACGTGGTCTGTGGAATAGGTGGGGATTGAGCGATGACTGAGGCTGAATGAAATAAGACTTTTCCTGCTGTTTGTACGTTTTGCCGACCTCTTCCTTCCATTTTTTGCTGTCCACTTCCTTTGTCTAGTCTCCACCCGAATACCTCCCGAAGAACCAGGTGGCTAGCTACCTTTCGGGACTTTGAAGGAACTTTGAAAATCGATCGAGTCAATGCTACTCCAAGTAATACCTGCATCAGGTTTCATTGGAAGAACATACCAGAATGTTTTTCATGTTTGTGCCCTGTTTAAACGTGTTTAGCTAGGAATATACGTGAATTTCATGACTGGTTGAAGTGTTTTTTCCTGAATATTCTTGTCCATGATTTTTGTTTGACAGATGCTTTTAGATGTAGAAATGATAAATATTTATTATTTACTTCGTATTAATTGAAACAGCATCGTTGAATCGTGCTATTTATCGGACCGTTACCTCCTTTGTTGCTTTTCCAGAAATTTTTTCTCAGATCCAGTTTTCGAAACCAAAAGTTTCAGATGAATCCGTTTGATGAAAAGCAGCGTGCACGTAACGCTATAAAAGCTGGTGAGTTTTTGTTTTGTGTTCATGTGTTCGGCGAGCTTTTCATGTATTAAGTTATTTATTTTCTAGAAATATTCGCGATTCGCCATCCTGAAACTGTCACTCAGATTAGTGAATATCGAGATCAGCGATTTCAGGTCGTGAACTGAAATTTTGACATTTTTACGTTGCTAATATGAGAGGAACCATTTGCAAGCATCATACTTTTTGCCGGGTTCAGGGTGTCCTAGCGGTTGCATCCATAGAACTGATGCCGTCGTCGGACCTTGATCGATGACTCATGCTGGATTTACCCCTTTCTAGCATTTTAAGTGACAATTTCGCCTTTAATTCTCCAGAACTAATTGATCACTTGTAATTTCATTCAGTACAACTTTGCTTTCCATGGTATCTTTTTTTTTCTTTTCAGTTTACTGCAAATAATTACTATTAAATTCAATTGAATTCAATATTTGGTGAAAATGTAGACTGCGAAGGGGGGGGGGGGTGTTATAACAGCTCTAGATCTCTAGTTAACAAGGAATTAACACGGTGTTACGTGTTCTACTACGGGAATGAAGAACTTACCCAAGCTCTATAACGGAAGAGCTTTGGGATCGATAGATTAGTTAAATGTTCGATTCTAACCCCTTTCTACCTTTTCGCACGAGATAAACAAGGTTAACATCACATCCACTCCAGGTTACCTTCCCTCCTAAGTCTTAGTCGAGATATTACATCCGCCCCTGCTTATTCGCATGAGTAGCACAGATGAGCGGTGCCCACCCTCCTTCTCGTCTCTGACAGTCTTACTCTAACATGGAATAGCATGTAACACCGCGGTAATTTCTTTTTGTGTATATACTAATACTGTTATGTGTGTGCATTGGCTGACGCCTGCACCGGCATCAGTTCTATAAATGCAAAAGCTCTGTGCACAAGTACTAAGTATGCTTTCAATTCTCCTTCTCAAAAATAATTCTGAAGAAAATACGACAGCTTATTTTCTCCCATAATTTCAGGGCACGCTCAAGGAGCAGGACCTAGCCCTGCGAACATCGACGACACTTTATATAGGGAACTTATCATTTTATACTAGTGAAGATCAGGTTCTCGTTATAGCTAGTTTGTTTTAATCATTTGCTACATGCGTGTTTTTTGTTTCAGTTGTATGAATTGTTCAGTCGCGCTGGTGAGGTCAAACGCATAATAGTTGGTCTCGATCGTTTCAAGAAATCTCCATGCGGTTTCTGTTTTGTAATGTGAGTCTCTCATCAGTTCTAATTAGATCACTTACTTTGTCGATGAAGGATTAAAACTGTAAGTGGTATTGGTGCTTCGAAAGGATCTTAGTTCTAACCATCATTCAGTTATTATACTCGAGCAGACACGGAAAACGCTGTGAAGTTTTTAAATCGCACTATGCTAGATGGTAGACTAATTCGGGTTGATTACGATGCAGGTTTCGTTGAAGGGCGTCAGTATGGACGAGGAAGACACGGAGGGCAGGTAATTATCATTTACTTGGTTTTCTCAGCCTAGTTAAGCTAATTTTGTCACCATTTATTTATTTCCCAGGTGCGAGATGAATATCGTGAGCAGTATGACCCTGACAGAGGTGGATACGGTAAAATATGGCAAGATAGGGAGAAGAAATATTAACTTTCCAGTAATGTAAGTTAAAAAGGAATCGTTGACGTGTAGAATAGATCTTGTTTTCCAACTTTTTGTTCCCTTGGATGAATTGTAAGGTTGCGTTGCGGTTTTTTCATTGTGGCTGTAAAGTTATGGCATGCACTGTTCAGACAATGTTTTATGAGCATCATTTTGCTGACGCCTTCCAAGTTGAACCAGTCAAGGCGTGAGATGAACAAAAGAGAAGGAATTTTGAAATATTCGCTAGCGCTGCACTGCAGTAATCCTCTTAGAAAGGATTGCAGAAAAACCAATTATCAAACCTTCTTACGTTAGGCGCGTTACTTGTCTTCGACTCAAACTGGCGTCGGTAAAAGGAGGGCAACTAAAATGGGTTTTACTTTGTTCGGATGTATTTCTTGTTTGCATAAATGGGTATTTTTATTCTTATTTTGATGATACAAAAAGTATGATGTTAGCCCGATGCTAATCAGAATTGGAAATAAAAAAANAGCATCATTTTGCTGACGCCTTCCAAGTTGAACCAGTCAAGGCGTGAGATGAACAAAAGAGAAGGAATTTTGAAATATTCGCTAGCGCTGCTTTGCAGTAATCTTCTTAGAAAGGATTGCAGAAAAACCAATTATCAAACCTTCTTACGTTAGGCGCGTTACTTGTCTTCGACTCAAACTGGCGTCGGTAAAAGGAGGGCAACTAAAATGGGTTTTACTTTGTTCGGATGTGTTTCTTGTTTGCATAAATTAGTATTTTTATTCTTATTTTGATGATACAAAAAGATGATGTTAGCCCGATGCTAATCAGAATTGGAAATAAAAAAAAACTTTGATGTCATATTAAGTTGGGGTTTGTGATATGGCATCTATGCTGGTAATGGTGAAAACGATTCGTTTTTGAGCGATTTAAAAAAATCTAGTGTGACTATTTGATGTCAGGATAAAAAGTTCTCTTCTAACACCTTTTCAATTTTTTGTGCACAATCACTCAAAAAAAAAATTGAAAAGGTGTGAGAAGAGCTCCGCGTAGAAAAGACGAATGAATGTATTGTGATTTTCTAACTCGATGATTTTGGGGGACTAAGAAATATAATATTTCTGTCTGATTCATTGGAAGTGTTTCATTATGTTGTGCTTTTTTATCCACAGCTCTATATGTACTATTTGAACTACTCTCAAATTGAATAGTGCTTCATGAAGGGAACTACTTTGGATTGAATAGCGTTTTAAGGGAAACTGCTTGGGAGTTCAGTCAAATTGGTCCCAAGGTCTCGCAGTGGTGACACTCATTTATGATGTTGTTCCTCAGAACTGCGGCATTGCTGTTCTTATGAGAGGGGAGGTTCTAGGCGGTGGAAGCAAAAATATGAAGATTTTTCAAAATTGAAGATATCTTCCTCCACTTATACTTTCTAACTAGACAGAACAGAATGAAATTCGAATGAGGTTTCTCATCCCATGCGCGATTTTGCTGGAGTCTAGCTCGTCCTATTTCTGATGCTCAACATTCAGCTAACTTTCTGTCGGCATTAGGTAGCCCCTTTCAAGAGTTTTTTCAAAGTAGATCTCATACTGATGCTTCCTTGAATAGTTGTTGTTCCAAGGTTGTTCCATTCTGCTTCCCCCCCCCCCGAGAAGTAACCAGCCTTAGTCAATATGTGCCGGTGTGCCGACAATGTCGAGAGCAAGTTAGAAATTACGGTAGCCTAAAACTCTCAACGTAAACTCACCGACAGCTTTGTTGCCCCTTGTGGCGCAGTTCATAATCAAGGGAAGCAACAAGGTAGCTACGGCTACTCAGCAATTCAGCTAATTCAGCTGTTTTTGTCGGTGGACATTCAAGATTTGAATTACATTTGGCTTCCACGCAGAACCATGGTGGCATTTGAGTTCGACCGCGGTGCACCCTTTGCCTTCCAGAGTAGTTCGGTCACTCATCCGGGATTTGATCCCTGGACTATGCGTTGGTGATAGCACGGTCCTTGGCCCATACTACCTCCATAGTAGCCATTGGTGTGTGTATAGTCCTCCGCCTGCTTTCATAGTCCGTCGGCCGGCTCGCGAGCGCGCGCCGGTAGGGGCGGCGCTTGCCTCACGATTACGAATGAATCTTGACCGATATCGCAGGCCGAGTAGTCCCCCGGCCGGCGCACTATGAAAACCCTGTGAAGAATGAGCCTCCCGTAAAGAAGCTGACGTTTAGATTGTAGGAGGTGCGCCACTCTGAAAACTTGGCTCCGTATGCGAGGTGGGGCATGGCATTGTCTTATCGTTTGTTATTCTTCGATGCGGTGGACACGGACCCCCTTTGCAAGCCACTGATCTAGTCATGGTCATAAGTTTTGATGTGGCCAGGGTACATTACTTTATAGGAAGGCAAGGAAACATCAAATGGGGAGGGTAGTCGTAGGTAATGTTGCTAAGCTTTCCAGTGCGTGATATAAAGGATGACTTAGTTTTATTGATGCTTTTTGTCTATTGGTTTGGAAGTGGAGTGGCTTTTTATAGTTTATTTGNTACGAGGGTGCTACCATTTTCCTTGAATCTTCATTTTATTGAATGCAGAAGTAAGGTTTGAGGAGGTAGTTCGAAGGCAGAGAAGGGTATAGAAGGAAGTTTAAGATACCCTTCTGAAAGGCGGTGTGCGGGATAGGGGACGATCACGCTGTATCGATATAAAGCAGGGCATAATAACGAATTATACTGTGGAGTGTGAATATTTGCAATAACTTTACTGGTCTGTGCTTCTCATATGGCCCCAGTTTTTCTGTTCTATTGCTCAAATCAGGAGCACTTGGAAGTTTCTTTTCCTACACACCGTGCTGTGCCAAATTAGCAGGATTCGTTATTATGGGCGGAGGTGGTGTAGTGGCATGTGGCGCGCTATTACACACGTATGATCCGTGGTTCGAGTCCTAGATCGACTCTCGCCTAGGTCAATAACGGCTTTCATCAAATCGAGATTGGCTAGTTGGTACCAGTGTCTGAGAGGGTGAAAGCACCGACTTGTACCTCGGCTGTTCACCGCATGTCTTATATGAAGGCCCCTCACGCATTCAAACCCCAATACGGTTTTGAAGAGAAGGCGAATGTCGGGCGCATCCCAAAATGGGGTTGATTAACGTCAGAGACTTCATCTTCAATCCTTTAAGTCACCATTTTAAATTTTCCCTTTGCATTGCTTCACTTTCAAGGTAAAAGGTAAAGGATGAAGCTTCAAAGAACAAAGCGAAAAGTCGGGCGGTGTTTGACGATTCAGTTGCGGGATGCACCATGCATTTGACTTCCATTCGAAATCTAATGGCGTTCTGAATGGGTAGTGACCTATTTTATGACTTTAGGTCAGTCGATCTACAATTCAAAACTCTCGAATGAGTCCAGTAGCCGGTAAGTCTGATGGTTAAGGGACCAAGATCCTATCCAACGACCATGTGCTTCATAGTGCGCCACGTGGACTATTGAGTTGGCAACAAAGTAGTTGCGAATATTTTAAGTGAATAGGATTAATTTTTTTTGCAAAAAGTTTTCATTCAGTTGCATATGGCAGAAAATAGTCAGGTACACGGTCTATTAGCACAAATCTCTTTGAAAAACAGGTAGCAAGTTACACTTCAAGATAAATGTTTGGAGTACTTGAAGAAACGCCGCTACTTGGCTGCCCACCTTAAACATACAATATCTGTTGTAAAGCGCAAATTCAGTAGTAGTGAAATTTCCTCCCCGTTTTCAGTGGCAGGAACATCACTCAAGGGTGAAATTGAAATGTAAATGTAGATCGAATATAATTTTGTATCGAAACATCGCCTCCCACTTGTGTTCATTCCTCATAAGGGGTTTTAATTGCGGCTATTTCTATGGTAGTAGGCTAGAGTAAATGTGTGACTCTATGACATTTGTTTGCTTACGCTATGAATATTCGTGGAAAGTGATAAGGAGTGGTAACGAGTGGAAAATGGTGTTACTGTGGGAGAATATGCTAAGAAGCTGGATTATCGTCTCACGCGCGCTTATAGGTCCCTAAATTTGATGATACCCTTGAAAAAGGACCGCTTTTGGGAGAGTGCGTTATTTTGATGCAATTAAGAGTAGTTCAAAGACTTAACGGCACAGTTCACGATAATTTTGAGGTATCCCTTTTTAGCCGAAAAGCGGAAGTATACGTTGGGTATAGTTCATTAATAGTGAAGAAGACGAGAAAATCGCCGTTTATAAAAAAAATAATGCTCCTCAAAAGTAGGGAAAATAGAGGGTGGACGAGATTACTGTAACGAGAATAACATGGAAGGGTTATTTGGATGAGATTTCAGTTGTTGCAATTGCGCAAAGAGCTGCCTACATCAAGCTAGAATTGTACAGAACTGCCTTTCACTGCCCTAGTAGGTCATGACAAATTGTTTGAATTTCCTACATGGGTTCCCTTGTGAACGGTGCAGCCTCTACAATGCCG